GCCTACAACATCGTGAGTGTAAACGGACCGTTGCAGAGCCACCTGTGTTTCCTCGTTCACGCACCCCGTCTATGAGGGTTTTCCAATCCAGAATTCCAGCAGAGGAGCCGATGGAGATAGGTGCACTCCGCCCTCGTTTAACAGTTCAGGAATGATCGAGAAGATTTCAGGAAGGTTTGTGCCTTTATTGCGGGGGTTCGGGACATTTTGCAAATTCTTGCACTCGGAAGGGGACTCGTGGACCTGTATCAAAACCCATTGGTGGTCCGTCGGGAAACGGGGTAGGCCCGACCTCAGGGAAACCCTAGGTCGGGCACAGTATTCACTTTCATCTCAAATTGCTGAAGTTAATTCTGGCCCTCCTCGACATTTACTTTTGGACACTCGCATATTCTTGCAATCTCGGAAGGAGGGAATCCCTGCCGTGGCACTGGTGGATTCAGGGGCTACGACTTGCTTTATGGATTATGATTTTGTAAAACATTTCAAAGTTCCTTTAGTGCCTGTGAATCCCCCCATGCAGGTGGAAACCGTAGATGGGCGCGAACTCAAGTCGGGACCTATTCGCTTTGCCACCCAACCACTGCGTATGCGTATTGGGGATCACGAGGAGGCGATAAGTTTTTATATCACTTCGAACCTCCATCTTCCTTTGGTGCTCGGAGTATCCTGGCTGCGTCTACACGATCCGTTGGTGGCTTGGGCGCAGAACGCTGTTTCTTTTCCAAGCCTGCAATGTGTGGACCACCTGAGACATGTCTGCGCAGGCCAACATATTGTCGCTTCTGCTGCCTCGATTCCTTCAGAGCTGTTGGATTTCCCCGATGTTTTCAGTGAACAGGAGGCAGATCAATTACCACCACATCGTGTTTACGACTGTCCCGTGGATTTGATACCGGACGCTCCATTACCAAAGGGGAGGTTGTATTCTTTGTCTGAGCCTGAACTAGTTGCACTTCGAGAATTTTTGAATAAAAATCTAGCTCGGGGATTTATTCGACCTTCGTCATCCCCTCTTTCAGCACCCGTTCTCTTTGTCAAGAAGAAGTCGGGAGAACTTCGTCTTTGTTGTGACTATAGACGCTTAAATGCTATCACTGTGAGAAATAGCTATCCTTTACCGCTCATCTCCGAATTGTTGGAGCGGTTACGGGAAGCTACAATTTTCATGAAACTTGACTTACGTGGAGCTTACAATTTGGTTCGGATGCGTAAGGGAGACGAGTGGAAGACGGCTTTTGGCACTCGTTATGGTCATTTCGAGTACACCGTTATGCCATTTGGTTTGACCAACGCTCCTGCTGTATTTCAACATTTAATGAACGATATCTTTCGAGACATGTTGGATAAGTTTGTTGTCATATATTTGGACGACATTTTGATTTATTCAAAATCTAAAGAGCAACATCTTCAGCAGGTGCGTCAAGTGCTTCAGCGTCTTCAGGAACATAAACTTTATGCTAAATTAGAAAAATGTTTCTTTTTTCAGTCGTCTATCGAATTCTTGGGACACATTATTTCTCCTGTGGGCATTGCTATGGACCCCAAAAAGGTTGAGGCGTTGTGTAGTTGGGAAGCTCCTTGTCGGGTTAAAGATGTGCAACGACTTTTAGGATTTGCCAACTATTATCGGACTTTCATTCCAGGTTTTGCGAAGATAATGGATCCCATAACCCAGCTTCTTTGTAAGAAGGTTCCATTTGTGTGGGGGCCTCCACAACAACAGGCTTTTGACACTTTGAAAAAAGCATTTATAACTGAACCCATATTGAAGCATCCTGATCCGGATCGCCCATTTGTGGTCGAGACAGATGCTTCTAATGTCGCTATCGGAGCAGTGCTGTTACAAGCTTCGGAGGATGGTGCTCTTTTGTTTCCTTGCGCTTATTATTCTAGGAAGCTTACAGCTTCGGAACGCAACTATACCATTTGGGAAAAAGAGTTGTTAGCTATTAAGGTTGCTTTTGAGACTTGGAGACATCATTTGGAGGGAGCTTGACACAAGGTGGAGGTTCGGACAGATCATAGGAACCTGGAACATTTGACCACGGCTAGGAAATTGAATCAAAGGCAGATTCGTTGGTCGTTATTTTTTGCCAGATTTAATTTCTCGGTTACTTACGTTCCAAGTGGTCAGAACCGGAGGGCGGATGCATTATCTCGGAAACCGGAGTATACTTGTGCCGAAGATCCTCTTCCTTTACGGACAGTGTTACCACCGGAATCTCTAGCCGTACTGCAGGAACCGGTAGATTTACGGGCCCAACTACGAGAGGCGCAACGTTTGGATGCGTGGACGCAGCAGAGACGGGAGGACATTGGCCCAACTTCTCCATGGTCTTTTGAAGATGATCTGCTTCGATATCGGGGTTTATTATATGTGCCTACCAGACCGTTGAGGGCTCTCATCATGACACAATGTCATGATAACCCAGCCGCTGGTCATTTTGGATTACACAAGACCTTGCATTTGGTCACTCGGACTTTTTGGTGGCCTCGAGTTCGTCATGATGTGTCTTCTTACGTCGCTTCTTGCGTTCAATGTAGGCAAGCGAAAGCAGCATCCGGTGCACCTCCTGGACTTTTGCAACCCTTGCCGACTCCAAGTAGACCATGGGGAGCGATCTCTATGGACTTTCTGACACATTTACCGTCTTCATCGGGGTTCACAACAGTGCTTGTGGTAGTGGATATGTTGACTAAAATGGCCCATTTCATTCCCTGTCGGAAATTACCATCGTCCCGCACTACGGCTCAGTTATTTTTGCAACATATCTTCCGTCTACATGGACTGCCTGATAGAGTGGTTTCTGATCGTGGGGTCCAGTTTACGGCAGAATTTTGGAAACAGTTAATGGCGGCTTTGCAAGTGAAAGTATGTTTAGCGTCAGCGCACCATCCGGAAACTGATGGCGGGACGGAGAAGGTGATTGGGATTCTTACTCAATATTTGAGATGTTTTGTTAATTTGCGACAAAACGATTGGGTGAAATACCTCCCGTTAGCAGAATTCGCGTTTAACAACTCACAGCATACCTCCACCCGTGTCACGCCATTTTTTGCAAATATGGGTTATCATCCGCGTTTCTTCCCATTAACTATGATGGATTCCCCGGTTCCTGAGACCCGAGAGTTTTTGGAAGAACTACACGCAGTTCGCCGTCTACTGATACAACAATTGAACAAGGCAAAAGAAGATTATAAGCGGTTTGCAGATCGGTCCCGTCGAGATATACCTCCGTTAGTTGTGGGTGATAAAGTGTGGCTATCTACAAAACATCTGAAGGTCGATCGCCCTATTAGAAAACTTGATCATCGGTTTATTGGTCCGTTCCCGATTGAGGCAGTTATTAATCCCGTGGCATACCGCCTCACTTTGCCACGATCCATGCGTATTCACCCCGTCTTTCATCGATCTCTTTTGATTCCTGATTCTTCTGTTTGTCGATTACGTGATTCTGCTGAACCGGGTCCGTTATCATTGCCTTCTGAGGAGCCTGTTGTTGACGATACGGTGGTCGACGTCCTTGATTCCCGTTGGCTCAAAGGTCGCTTCCAGTATTTGGTCAGGAGGAGGGTAGATGACTCGGAGGTTTGTTCCTGGACGGATGCGTCTACACTTCATGCTTCGGATCTGCTTCGAGACTTTCATGCACGCTTCCCTTCGAAACCGCATCCGGATCGCCAGACCCGGGGGAAGGGCCCTGCGGTGAGGGATAGTGTTGTGATTCCGGCATCTGCTACAGGTTTTTTGAATGACAGCTCCAGCGAGGAGGACTTATATGAATCAGCAAGTTCTAACGATGAGGAGGAGATGAATGCATTTGATTTGCAAGATCGGCTTGAACCTTCAAACTCCTCCACCCTTCAATTAGGTGGTCAGCCGGGAACGGGTGATAATGAGGAACCAATGATATCTTCAGGTGAAGAAGATGATAATTTGGATGATTGCTGGGTAGATGTCAGGACAAGACGTCTCCTGACAAGGAGGAACCAACGAGGATACAGTAGGAGAGCAGACCAGCAATTAGACTAATTAGTTACTCTATAAAGGGAGAGATATGACTTTGCACTTTGTCCGGAACAAAGTGTCTATTTGCAAGGAGAACTGAAGAGCACAGTTTGGAGGATTTTGATCTGAAATATCTTGTTGGGATTTGGATTTAATTCGTTGGAACTTCTACTTATTGGAATTATTTTGTGAAGGATTTTGATCTGAAGAATCTTGTTGAGTCTTGGATTTAGTTCGTTGGAACTTTTACTTATTGGAGCTATCTGTGAAAATTCCTGTTTGCTGCCTTTCTTTACAAGGACTGTTGCTTTCAGCCTTATCTGTTTACTTTAAAAGGTGGGACATAACATTTTCCTGTTTGCTGCCTTTCTTTACAAGGACTGCTGCTTTCAGCCTTAACTGTTTATTTTAGAAGGTGGGACATAACATATATATATTTTTAAAAAAAAGATACTAAAGGGAGCCTCTATTTTATATAATATAAACAGTCAAAAAGAGGAGAAAAAAGCAAGTAAATATAAAAGAAAAAACCAGTCTGATTAACTAGATCGCAATAGAAGTTCAGTGAAGAGAAAAAAAAAGTAAAAATAAAAAACCAAGCCTCATTTTGACATTCTTAAAGAAAAAATCGCCGCTAAGTCAAATTCTGTCAAAAATTTTACAGATTCCTTCTCATTTTAGGGTGTCCTTAAGTCCCAAGTAAAAAAAAAAAAGAATCCTCACCAGCCGATACACTTTCTCTTTGTCTCTTCCTTCCGGAGCTGTCCCAACTTCAGCAGCTTAATGGCTGCCTCCCCGCCGATGGTAAAAGGGCTTCTTCTGGATCAACCAGGGACTTGCGATGTCCCTGGGATCTACAGAACGCGCCCCTTACTATCACCGTCTCTACGGGACGGTTTAGGTCCGTGGGGACCGACCAGGAGCGGGGATATCAGCAGCTATCTCAGAGCCCCGAGATAGCAGCTGTATCACAGCGACGAGACTCCGCCTTCTCGCCGATCAGGGATTTTTAAAGAGCCCATGATCTGAACAGATCTAAAATTTTCTGGTATGGCAAAATGTCTGATGTATTGAGAAGAATAAGATATTCCTTTGGCAAGAGGTATTACCTAGGGAGGAAAAGAATGTATTTGTTTATTAATGGCATTTTGTAACATATTTTTTTGAAATGGGAATGATTAATAATTCATTGACTGATTTAACATTCATTTCATTAAGACCAATCTGTCTTGAAAATTTAAACACGATCAGCTTGAACTTTCCATTTGTTTCATAAGTCCTCTCTTTTTGAGTTAGGCCTAGATTAGCCTGCACAGCTGAAAAGATTCCACTTAGAAACTCACAACTCACATTACAACAGAACACCCTTGTTCATTATTCCCATAAAATAATATTCTTATATAGGAGATAATATATAATATCATGATGGTTAGCATGGCCTCATTTTCTAATATTTCCAAGCACTTTTGTGTTTGTTAGTATAGAACCCATGATGTATAATCAATGATTCCCATCTATTGACTAATTTTGCAAATGATCCTTCGTACAGTGGCAGAAGTTACTCTGCTACTTCTGTAGTAACTCAGAAATAAGTCCAGAAACAATATTCTACTAATTGCAAAATCAAGAGAAATTCAGGTGTTTAAATGAAACAATCTTCTTATTGAGAGCCTGGATACTATGACATTTTTCAGGGTTAGAAGGTTAGTTCAACAGAACTATCCACACTTCTTCATGAACTATTAACAACGATCTTCATCCTATACAATGTTCAGCGTGACTTTCTCTGTTGTGTTTAAGCCACAAATGTTATTTCATTAGATACAAAATTTTCTTGTTATCAAGTCACAATTAAATATTACTAAAATTAGATTATTTATACTTAAAAATACAGTGTTTTTTTTTTGTGATCAAGAGAGAACATTGCTCTTTATGTTAAACAACAGAACGTACCAAATTTTGTCCTATTATTTGTATAGTTTCATTTGGTTGGTTATAACTGAATGCACTATAAGCGACAACAAAAATTCCAATGAAACACTCAGGTACTTAGTAACCTTATTAACACACCCAAAGATTATTAAAGGATCAACCTAAGAAATATATAAAAATACCTATATTTTGACTAAGTCACAATTAACTTTTCACATTCAGCGAGATCTGAGTGCAAAGAAGTTAGCAGGAATCATTCTGTAAGTTGATAATATACCATCTGTGGCTTTAGAATATTATGCATTTCTTTTAAACCTTTGATAAAAACCCCAGAAGCTTCCAAATTGCCCAAACAATTGTAAATACATGTGACAGAAGAAGAAAAATTATTGTAGAAGATAGGTAGATAATAATAATATCAGCTGAATGTGTTTACTTTGATCTTAAATTTAAGTTAAACCAAATTTATTTTTTGTCCAAGCTTAGTATTTCTTTGCTCAGGATTGACGGATCTTTGAGAGTGTGGTCCCACCACACCAATGAAAGGCACTGAAGCGAAGATGCGCATCATTATTTTTCTGCTGCTTTTAGTTATATTTTTAATTTTTCCATATGTGCTGTGTAATTGTATTATTTAAAGGGATATATTTCTCTTAATGAAGGAAATATTCAAGCCACATTCTGCAGCACCTCTATTTTAAAATAAATAAAGGATGAAACAATGAAAAGAGATTGAAAGTATGATGCTCTGGACAGGGTATCCATATGTCCAAAGTGTCATTCTTTCTGTTTCTTTTAGTTGGTTTGTTTAACTGTGTCATTTCTTATTCAAAAGTACTACTTCTCAAAAAACACTGTATGCTTAAGTCAATACCTCAATACTGATGACTGTTTCCCCTTGAAGAAAAGGATCTCCCTTGTCAATTGCTGTGATTACCATTCGGTAGTTTGAATGCCAATTGTATAAAAGAGCTTTGGTAGTTCTTTTTTTAAAAAAACCAAGTTTTATTATCCATATTTTAACATCTCTTTTTAGTGAACAGCATGATTACAGGTTTCACATATACATGCAAATATGACCATGGTTACATATTCAATATTTATATCCAATTCCTTATCTTAACAGTGCTTTTATACATTTTCTATTTTATTGTATTACTCCAAATATTTATCTCATTATTTAATTCACTTATGATAATTTCATAATCATTATACTTTAGTATTTTTAACTGTCACATTTGTATATTTCATCTTAAATTCTAATTTTAAAAAAAGACACTTCTTCTATAAATTGGTTTCCCCCCTGAAATCTCAATATAAGTGCGCCTCCTCTAAGTTATAAATTCATTTATTTTCTCCCCTTTTAAATCTCGTTAAAACATTTAACATTATTACCTAAAACATTAAATTTAATAATCCCTTTAAAACTACATAGCATATATAAATCAGATTCTGCATCTCCTTTTAAATTTCATTAAATTCCACCCCCCCCCCAAAAAAAAGGACATATTAATCTACTCATTCAAACAGTAAAACAACCCTAAACCCTAAAGTTAATTCCATTTCATCTCTCCTCCTATATCATTTCATTTATTTCTATATATTTAATACACATATTCGATTAATTATTCCTTTCATATTTAAACCAAAAAAGCCAACATTCCAATCTTAAAAATATTTCAATATATCTAATATACTTATTCCATTATTTGTTACAATTATCTCTCTACATAAAGAGGAAGAGCATTAGATTCCATTATCCAAAAAATAACAATTCTGTTTTTCCATCTTGTCAATCTATATGTCCCTATTTAGTAACTATAAATTTATATTACCCCTCAATACCTTGCAGAATCCCCTTTCTTTATAATAATCAAGAGTTTTGGTAGTTCTTAACTCACCGCTACGGCTGTCAATCTGAAAGTGACCTAAACTTTCTTCTGAAAAAGATACATGAGCATTAATGGCATGTTAAGAAAGTGTTATTTAGAAGAACCTTAAACAATATTAAGTACTAAGCTGAGAATTCAGTTCCTGCTGCTACTTCCTACCCCTGTCTGTGTGATGTAGAACTCTTTCACATGACAAGCAGAACATAACCATGTCTCTCTAAATGTGCACATATTTATCTCTATCTTGCAGTCTTAAAGACGGTCATTTAAATAGAAATCAACTTCAAGGAATAAAAATCTAAACAAATATCCTTTATAAGCTTACAGAAGTCTCTGGCACTTTCAAAGAAGCAATCTAATTTCTTAGGGTGCAGTTTTAACCCCTCATAACTCCATGTTGAAGAGATAAGGATATACCCAGTCAATATGCAATGAAGGTCATTTACACCAATGGTGATCAATTCAAACTTATAATCCATATTTGGCCTCAAATTTTCCAAGATTTCACTGCCTGAAGTCAAGAAGACCTTTTCCTCTATTTTAATAGTGTAACTTTCTATCCTTCCTTCAAATATTATACCTGAGAATTAGGATATTTTCTGTTAAACTCTCTATATAGCATGGCAAGTTGCTATGAGAGGGTAATCTCTATACTACTAAAACTCTAATTTCTGTAACTGGCCGAAATGGTATACCTCAGAGCAAAACTTTTTGAACCAAAGTACCACCATGGTCAAATGGACTAACTTACGGAATACATCCAAAATACAGTATCAATGATGCTCACAGAATTAAAATTTGGCAAATTTTATAAATGTCATAAAACATTTCCTGTGCTGAAGTTTCATTGTGTAACCGTTCAACATGGATCATTTTCAAGGCAGGTACATCTTTGAATGTACCCCAAATTTTCTAGTGAGAACAAGAAGACAAACAATTCTATGAAATTTGGGACCTTTTCTATCAATGGCTAGATAATAAAATATAATAATAGAATATTTAAAACTTTAGGAAACAATGAATACATATTTCTTTTTTTCTTTGATACTATCTTTATAAAATTTTATTAAGATAGACTTGGTATGACTTTATGATTTGCTATAAAATAAATTAAGTAAACTATAGTTATCTCGTTAAAGTATGAATTAATAAAATTATAGTCAAATGATTGTTTAATAATGATATCAGGCTATATAATTGTTGATTGATAATATGAACTATTATGTAATATAACTACAATGGAGACTATGAAATGGATGCACACAAAAAAGTGGTAAACCAACCGACACACTGTCTGTAAACTCATGAAGGAAAGGATGATGTTTTTATGTTTTATGTGTTTTTGTTTTGTTGTTAAAATTTATAAAACTGTTTAAAAAAAACAAACTCTAATTTCTGTAACTGGCCGAAATGGTATACCTCAGAGCAAAACTTTTTGAACCAAAGTACCACCATGGTCAAATGGACTAACTTACGGAATACATCCAAAATACAGTATCCATGATGCCCACAGAATTAAAATTTGGCAAATTTTATAAATGTCATAAAACATTTCCTGTGCTGAAGTTTCACTGTGTAACAGTTCAACATGGATCATTTTCAAGGCAAGTACATCTTTGAATGTACCCCAAATTTTCTAGTATGGACAATACATTAGATGTCTGTCACTGCTAAAGACATTGAGGAATCTAGTAAGGAAATACCTCTGAAAGTATGTCCTAATGGAGCATGGGTTACCCAGTATCCACTAAATTGGGGTTAAAAGTGAACGTTGTTAGTTCCATCCACCTGCACCAAGTTTTAACAATCTTCCACCTTTAGATCTTGCTCTACGTCCCAGATCTTTCTTAATGATTTCCTAATTTACTGAAGAAGCTTGCAAAGGAAAAATGTGGAGAAGAAGGAGTAGAAAATCTCATTTTAGGCATGGGTCTTTTTTTTTATAGAATACTTCTTTCTATAGAAAGTTCAAGTCATGGGAAGGTATAACAAAGATCATAGCTTCATTGTATTTCATTCTCCTAATGGAGAATCTCTGTTGGAAAAGAACTACCCAGAGGCACACAAGTATGATGCTACAGAAATTGAATACATTAAATTAAATAAAAAAATTGCACAGAGATTATCAGCAGGGAAAATCTTGAACAAGGACTGTAATCTGCCAATAAAGTTTTTATTTTAAAAATAAAATAAAAAATATATACTAAAAAAGTTTTGCTTTGCAGGCTGAAGACTAAAGTGGTTTCTTGGTGAATATATATCAGAAAAGAACTTTGTAAAAATCCCACATAGTTGATACCCCCAGGCAGCAAAGCACATTTTGTATCCTGTGGTTTTGAGCACAGTAGCTATGCTATTTTATAACATATCATAAACCCAGCACAGTTTAAAGATAAACATTGGATTGATTGTCATGGCTTACTTTGGGAAAATAAGATCCAAAACACAGATGTCATCCATCCAGTTTATCACAATGAAAATAAATGTATTAATATATTAAGTCTTATAACAAACTGGATATGTGACATCTGTGTTCTGGATCTTATTCTCCCAAAGTAAGCCATGACAATTCATGAAGTCTAGATTCTCCCATTTCCTAAGTAATTCCAAGAAATATGAAAGTCAGAGAAAAACAGACCAAGGAGAGAAGCACACAATAGATACAAACTCAAGGTAAACCAAACCAAACTTGATTGCAGGAAATACGACTTCAGCAACAGAGTGGTCAATGTCTGGAATACTCTACCTGACTGTGGTTTCTTCCCCAAACCCCAAAAACTTTAACCTTAGACTGTCTCCTATTGACCTCACCCCTTTCCTAAGAGGTCTGTAGGGGGCGTGCATAAGCGCACCAACTGTCCTATTGTTTCTTTTTTTGTTGTCCCTGTCCTATTGTTTCTTTTTTTGTTGTCCCTGTCCTATTGTTTCTTTTTTTATTCATATCCATTTCATGTATTCATAACCATGCTTATACTTATACCTGTTATCTTATAATCGCTTGACAATAAAATAAAATAAAATAAAATAAAATAAAATAAAATAAAATAAAATAAAATAAAATAAAATAAAATAATAAAATAAAATAAAATAATAAAATAAAATAAA